AAAATCACTTATTTGACCCAATTAAAATGATTCAACTAGCATGAGTCGTATATTAAAAATGATGCATTTCTATCTAACTAAGAAGTATATTAGGTGAAGATATGGGCACAACCAAACCAAGAAAGGCGAACTTTAGCATTGGCAGCCTCACTGGCGACACCAGGTGTTAGTAATGGTGGCAAGACATCGAGCATTAGAATTGGCGGCTGCATTGGAGATAATGGGTGTCGGTGTTGTTCCTAATGATTTGCTTCCATTTTGTTAGTGACGGTGGGTGTTGATCTTTTTGACAATGATATGTTTAGCTCATGTTAGAGACTCGAATAAGTCAAATTTATGAGGAAATATTGGACAACTCTTCCAAAACTATCCATGGAAATTCAACACTTTAATCTAAATATAGATGCAACATGTACATCTCAACTCTTCTTATAAACTAGTAATATCTTTTTGAATGTTATGTGTAGTTAACTTTAAAATCTCGAGATTATTTTTTAGTGCCACATTATTTATATCTTCATTATATTCGGCCAAAAATAACAGTTCTTGAAGAAATTGTCTTAATATTTAGATTTATAAGATTCATGATGTCCAATCATAGTCTCAAAAGAAACATCACGCAATGAACAAAAGTATTTTTATGAGTACAATATTCAATGATAGCTCGATAAGATTACTTCTAAAAGGCAAAGCCAATATGTTGACTCTAACGCATCTCACTTTGATCTGTTGGTTGAGAGCTTTGGCTATCAACTAAGATGTCTTTGATTGAAAGATTGCATATGTGATGTGTGTGAGAGTTTACTTTAATTGACTCAAAAGTCCCAAAAAAAAAGTTGACCCTATTCCATTAAATCCTCATAATTTGATTGTGCATAATTATGAGTCTTTTTAGGGTTCCAACCTAAAGTTCAAATCAATCAAGCTTTTACAATATGATAAACATGTTTGTTAAATGCCACATCATTCTCTTTTCCTCTTCCTTCTACTATTAAAAGATAACAACATAAAAAATATAATTTATCTTTATATATATTATACTTTAACCAACTAAAGCACCTATGAAACCAGTTATATATGATTAAAACGTCCATCTTTGATTCCAAATTTACTTTTAGAAAAAGTCATGATTGTGAGGTTGACATACCCCTTTTTATGAACCTGTTCTCAAATATTATGATTTTCTAGACATATTTTTGAATTTTCCAATGAATCAATCTCCATTTGACTTCATTTTTTTTCTTAGTCATTTTCTTTTATTCAATTCATCTAAATTTGTTGATAAATATGATTTTGATGACTTCTTTAAATATCTTTCCCATAAATATATGAACCTATAAGTTGAAGCAAATTTCATATGAACTAAAAAAAAAAAAACAAGGAGCTCTAAGATCTTAAACCGAATGAAAATCATTCAAAAAGGCAAATAAAAAATGATCAAGATGAGACTATCTAAAAGACGAAAATCATAAAATTAGGTTGGGCTGGAATTAATAACAATAGGTTTACAAATTTCGTTTGAATGATTGAAGGAAGCTAAAATGGGTTTAATCAACAATCATTCTAAATCATTTTAGTTGATAGTAATTAACCGATCAAGTAATCTGAAATTGGTGTAATAAACAATAGAAAATCATAAAATTTTAGGATGAAAAAAATTTATTTATTTTTTGATACATCTACAATTACAATTAATGATGATTTTAAAATTATAATCTTTAGTGTTTAATGAAAAAGAGGAGTGTCAAGTACATGACTCAATGAGATGGGTCAACTCTAGCATTAGATCCATAATTTAATTTTTATTTTAAAGTTAATGCCTTAAATTGAATAGTGGGGAGGAAACATAAATCATGAATTAGGGTATATATAATTGAACCGACTCATGAACCAACAAGCTGATCTGGTTCAAGTTTGAACTCAAGCTTGTATATTATACAAGCTATACTATAAGCTCGAGCTCAAGATTAAAGCTCGATAAGCTTGACTCATGAGCTAACTAACAAGTCTCATTCAATCAGAATCATCTCACTTGCACCCTTAGTTAAATTGTTGCTTAAACTCTAGTTTGAGCTTGGTCATGAGAAAATATTCTAATAGAATCTCTATAGATAATTTTTATCCACAAATGTGAATGATTGCTATTGTTCATTCTAAATAAGCATCTTCCATATTTCATATATTTTTAAGTTGACCCCTAAAACGTCTATGAATTGTCCTCCTAGCAAATCATTTGAAAGCACTTTTATCAAATATAAAGAAGGGCTCAAAGAATTTATTAAAATTTTGATTATCAAAAGTCTTCATCTATTTGCAAAGTTTTGCCTAATTGGCTGCTACATGATTGTTAAATTTCTAAATATGAATACCTCAACTAGTTTTATCTAATCTATGTTCCTATTTTGATAGATCTTTACACAATCATTCATATTTTTTACGTAGTCTCTCTCTTTGAGCCTATGTTTATCTTCTTTTGTTTTCTTACCAAATAAACCTCATTGATCAATTCACCACTAAGACTTTCATTGATGGCATGTATTTCACCTTTGACATGACTAATTAGCCTTCTTACTTGAAATCAAGTTGGCCACCTTCATGTTTAGTTGGCTTCATTCACTGATCCTTCAATTGCCTCCATTAGCACTAAGAAGATTGAATTCCTCATGGAATCTTAAAACCAATAATTCATGACTATCCATTCTAGCTACTTTGTTTGTCTTCATACCTAAGTGGCCACCCTTCTCATCGGACATGTACTATCCAATATCTAATGTTTGACAAAGTTATACTTGTTCAACCTTTATCGTCTATAATTATGATGTTTGAAGTATTTGAAGCCCTATATTTAGCATTTGATCATTGAATATTAGTTGGATTCTTCATCTTAAAAAAAAAAAAATAATTTGTTTAACCATAATACTTTACCAATTAAGTCTCATTAGTACCACCTCTATCAATTTAAATCTCACTACGTGCATAAATATTGCACAACAAGCCTCCCTCATTATAGTTATTAATGATTATTTAGTCTCTTACACATGATTTGTTTGTTCAAATGTAATATTTTTTATCAATTATAATATGTCTTGTCACCCTCCAAAATCCAATTTGGAATTTTTTATTTTTTATTTATCTTTTATGTAGCAATCATAACTATCTAATTTCTTTCAATAATAAAATACCAATGAAGCAACTTCTATTGATCAAAATATTAATATACACATCTATAATCATTATTCAAAAATCATTACAATACTCAGAAGTCATACACATACAACAATCTATCTTTACACTCCATAGTATAGAAGAATAACGTACTCAAAGCAAAAAAAAAAAAAAAAACAGTAAAACCTAATAAATCCCATTTTTTATGTTAGAATAACTAAAAATCAAATCATGTTTTATAAATAGTTAAAAGTTTAATGTTAGGTTTAAAATTATTCCTTTTTTTTTTTTTTAGTTTTCTAAATATAATTAATGATCACAAAACATTTCAGAAGAACAATTTTGACATGCATCAATGATACATGTCAAATAATAATATAGTGATTCATGCAAGTAGAATGAACCACAAAGGAGAAAATCGGAGCAACAATCATTCACTAAACATGATATATGACATGCATTTTGATCTCTATCTTTTTCTTACTAGCATGTAGCTATGATACCACCATGGATTATTTGTCCCTAAACCTCTTTTATTTTATTAATCACAAAATTTTATACAAATATAATCATCATTAACACTAATCTTAACACAACAAACTAGCCATGCATGCACTTCACAATATGAGAAAATGGCATGACCCCTTTTCAAGAATATAGGCACTTTTCATGAGAAAAGTTTAGTAGTTGTGCAGCACCATTCCCTACCTCCTTTCATCTTGTTCACAAAAGGCAATATTATTATGATGAATGGTCCAACATACTCTACAACCTAAATATTAAAGCATTAGACAACTCACCTAGACTAGCACTTTATGTACAAGTTAAAGACAAAGAGTTCCAAGTAGGGGTATAAATGAGTATGAGCCAAGTTTTAGTCACAAATCAGGCTTGAGCTTGAATTTCATTAATTAATCGAGTTCTAACTCAAGCTTTATTCTACGAGTTCTAGCTAGTTCATTGATTTTGAAAGAGAGAAAATGCTTATGATTCAAGCAATTATTATAATAAAATGATAAATTAAAAGAAAAATAACAAATTAAGATGCACTTAATATAAGAAGGTGAAAAGTAATTTATAAACCTTTTTTAATAATTTAATTTGTACTTAAAATCCTGAATACTAATATACCTTAAGTGTATTTTATATTCATATTTTTTAAACTAGTCAGCTCGCAAGCTAATGAGTCGAGTTAGGGGTAGCCCAAAGCCCCAAACTGCTCAAATTTGGCTCTTTAGCTCATCGGACTCAGCTCACAATTCATTTATTGAGTGGAGTTCAAGCCAACAACTGATCACGAGTCAGCTTGACTCACTTACTCCCCTAAATATGAGCAAAATCATATATAGAACTTATTTTTTTCTCACTGTAGAAAGTATTAATTAATATGTATTACTTAAAATAAAAAATAAATTTTATGAGAACAAAATTAGAAATTCTAACAAAAAATCATATAAATTATTTTTTTAATTTCATATAAAGATTCGTGTTCATTAGTCTCTATCGTTGATAGATACTTAAATCTATATAATAATTCAAATATCAAAATAAAAATTTTTAGATTAAAAGCCTTGGCTAGGGATATTTTGTTCTCATAATGGAATTCCTGTACAGAGGAGTACGTTCATTCATTCATTACAGTAATTTTGCATTGGAACCCCTTTTTTATTAAATCTATATCAATAATAGTCTTCAAGAATTATATGATTCTTAATTACAAATAACGATACAAAATTAATAGATAATTATATAGCAAATAATAGAGTATTAATATATTAATATAACCCTTAAAAACTACTCCATAGACTGAAGGGAAGGTTGTAGTTAATGAAGAATCTGAATTCATGGAGACTGAAGAGCTGAACCTGGACCTGGCACTACGCCAGTCCTCTCCGACAGTTTCTGCCATGGCAGAGTACTTAAACGAACCAGAGAGAGTATTTACTTGCAACTACTGCGATAGAACTTTCTACAGCTCACAGGCGCTCGGTGGCCATCAAAATGCGCACAAGGTTGAGCGAAGTCTTGCCAAGCGAAGCAGGGAGCTGGCCGCCGCTCTCAGACAACACGGCGGTGGCGAAGGGAAGAATCCGGTGGCCCCGGCGAGGTATGGAACAATTGTGGGAGGGGAGATGGTTTGGGCTGGGGCTTATAGGAGGAAAGAGGATGAAGAGGTGGATCTGTCTCTAAGGCTATGATGATTTTTTTTTTTTTTAACCTTTTTTTTTGGATTTATGATTTTCATTTCTTCTCTTCCTTCTGTAATAATAGTAAGTATTTTTTTTTTAAATTAACATTTGTTGTTATGTAGTTGGATTTGGAAATGAAGATTTTATGTATTTTAGGTTTGTGTGGGGCTTAAAAAGTATTTGTGATTTGGCCTAATTATTGATAGTTTTATTATAGATTAATTGATCATTAAACAAGGTTTAAATAGAGGTAAATTAGCATATGTTGGAGTAATTAGTGGGGATGAAGGTTCTTCAAATGCTTTTTTTTTCTCATATATAATTATTTTTTTTATAATTAAAATATTTAAATGCATGATCAAGATTATTGTTGTTGATTTGCAGTCTAAGGATGATTTGTGATCTATGTTGATAATTTTTTATGAGGATTTGTTCGTGAAGAAATATATGACTTGTAATGTCTCATATAAAGATATCACTTTTGTATGTTGATATGCATGGTGAATCACAAGCTTCTTTATGAATGGATGGGTTATTTGATACATAACTATTATAATTTGCTTGACATACTTGAGATGAGACAACAAAGGACTACTAATCAAACTTCTTAGAACTTTCATTAACTCTATGCTCTTTAAATTTGATAAATTGGATACATAAGGTCAAATTGGAAATAATTTTCAACTAACAGAATATGTTGATGCCGATGTCTTTAATCAAGAGTGCACTCCACCTATGGGAAATGATTAAATTAGTAGGTGATTTTGCGACCATGACAAATCTTTGCCCCCCTGAGTCTAATATAAGCCCTACTTAATAAGCTTCAAAAAATCTTATTGAAATTTCAAAACAATCTCCTCTCTAAAATTTTATATTAATATACTCGGGGTTTTAGGATCAAATAGTAGAAAGCTTGATTGCGTGAGCCATTTAGAGCCCATAGATTGGAGAAATTATTACGTGCGGAGTATGGACGCCAAGACGTAATGTTGCATGTACAGTGTGTATAATACACATTGTGTCAAGTTGTCCAAACTTTGCATGTAATAATTTCTTCATAAATAGAAAGATATTAAAAAAAGTCATTTTGCCAAACAACCCTTATTGCACTTCTTCAACAACCATCACTTTCTTTTAATAGTGAAGCCTAATGTGTTGCATATGAAGATAATGATCATATTGACTATCACCATCTAAGGAATATATGGCATTTAATATCCAAGTAAATAGTGTACTATAGTCATTTATGTTGACATTAGTAAAATATATTGATATTTATGTCATATAAGGGCGTCTCCTGCCCCCACCATCATTTATGTTCATTACTAATACATGTGAAAGTTGTTTTGGTGCATACGTTTCTACTTTTTTACTAGTCAATGGGCTCTTAATATTTAGAAGTGGGGCATCTTTATACAAATTTTCTACAGGCAATAAAGGACATGATTTTTATCCTGTGCAAACTCCAAATTATGATGAGTGGTGTAACCAAAGAGATATTGAGCTTGGCTTTAAAGTACATCATTACTACACCAATATATTTGCAAATGCAAGAGTTATAATCAATAAAGTAAATATTTGCAACTACAATTTTGTCTAGTAGTATGATATTTGTTTTAGTTTATGTAATTGAACATTTTATTTATATATTGTCTATATTATTTTCTACATTTGCACCTTTATATGTGAGTAATAAATGTAAACTTACTTTTAAATTAATTAGTTTTATATTATATTTTATTGTGGGATTTCATAAAAATTTTGAAATAAGTTCAAAATACATGCACATGAATTCACCATCTACTTGATGTATAATCCTTGGCTATCATTTTCTATAAGAAAGATGTGTCTTATTTATCATCATTGACTAACATTAATGAAATTATTTCAAATAGGCAAGGTCCCATAATTTTTTTCCTTCTTTTATTCTTTATGTAAAAAAATTTCTTCTCTGCACTGATCTTAACTTATATGCACTAATGCAGCATTTTTCATCATTTAACAAGCTTATTATTTGTAATATATGAGATGAAAACTTCCTTTATTTCGAGGGTGGGCAAATTTATTATAGAAACAACTCAATATTAAAAAATAAAGAATGTATAAAATAAAATTCAAAGCAATTTCTTTTATTTCATTTTGATTAATAACAATGATAAGCTTTGCAGCCTCTTTGCATTTTTTAATAATTTTTCATATCAACTTCATAAAAAATGAAGTGAAATTTTTATTTTTCAATTTTGAAGGGCAATGACAAAACGAGAGAAATTGAGTGAGGGAGACCCATGAGATCAGAATGACAACTTATATAGTGCATCAACCAAATGTGTGAATGCTCTAAGGCTGTATTTTTTTTAGGCATCAGGGCAAAATGGAGTTTTAATGGGGGCAAAATTCTAAAAGAGGTTTTTTTTTTTAAATTAAATTTAAAATTCAGGGTCAGACGCCCAACCTCCGCCCATGAATATTTATTTAAAAGAAAATATTTAGAAGTCTAATGATTTAAGCTTTCTTTGGGAAAGTTTTATGACTGCTTTTTAAATCAATTTTTAGTACACAAATTTTTTTGAAATTAATCAGCAAAAAAAAAATTAAAAATAAAAAAAAAGGCGCTCAAAAATCATAAGCTATCACAAAAGAAGCCTTAGTACATCTATTTGAATTATATATAATATAGATCACATGTTCAACATATGTCTATGTTGTATTTTTATGGTTATGTTATACTTTACATCTATATCAAGTCGTTTCATATAAGTGTTTATGCATCGCATTCTATGCTTAATCACTTTCATTTTTTGTCCAAATAATATTTCACACCAAAAACTATTTCTCAACATTTCATGAGACGTAGGGATTTATAGTCCACTAGTTAATATTTACCAAGTACTTGTATGATAATCATCAGAGTATATTATTGAGTGTTATTTTATAATTAAAATAAAATAATTGCATTTTGTTTTTTTATATAAATTTCATGTGCTTTTAATAAAATATGCATTTACTTCTATTATATGGTTTGCTCCTGATGCAAATTGTTATTGAATGCTATAGATGCAATTTATGTCTTATTCCATGTGGGTAGTGGCCTCATAATGTTGCTACTATTTGTTTGTGCATTTGTTTATTCTTGTAATGAATAAATAGCTCATGATTAATTGTGTAAGAGATCATGAATGCCATCCTATTGTATAATTGTTTCCTTTGTCTCTCTTTTTTTTTTTTAATTATTTGGAGATTTATTATGGCTATATTTTTGGTAGATGAAATTTTGAGCTAAAAAGAAATAAAAATAATAGAAATTTTTTTGGAGACCGACTGACGTGATGGCAATTCTTAGTGATTAATTTTTGATTGATGGTTATGAATGATTGACGTCTAATGTCTGCCATTTATTTATGTCTAAAGCTGATCTTTCCATCTCCCTTCTCGATCACTTGATGTATGAGAAACATCATCTTCCTACATATTGTCATCCACTAATTTCAAATCTTCATCTTCTTGGTCTCCTAGTCTTCTTTCCTATCTGGAGATTGATTATGCTAACTAGCCTTCATCTCCAAATAAAAAAAAATTCATAATTGCTTGACGACTTTTAACGATTGACTATAGATGCACAGCACCAACTGACTTCTAGTTACTCATATTCTCGATCACATAATATTTCTTATATTAAGAGAATGATCAAACCATTTGTACCAGTATCTAAACTTCTTATATTTCATGTAAACCATCACCTAACACTTTCTAATGATTAACATATAGTGTTTTGCAACTACATATATCCAATTCTCATATTATCAGAGTGAACAACTCGCTTGGCTTCCAATATTCTATGTCGATCCTAGATTATCACTTTTGAATGACCCAGGCCTTTTACCAACTAATCTAATGCATATTTTATTGGAAGCTCAATCTCCCTTCTAGTTAGAAGAATGAGTATAATCACATTTGTTTTGATCATAAATATATGTTTTTAGTATAAATATATTTATTTTGATTAATCAAAGTCAAACTAAGTTACAGAACTTGGATGATTGAAAAAGTAAAAGGGAGATGAATCAATTCAAGATAAATTGTGGTGGTGATTTGGGTTTTATCACTGATATAGAGTTCCCTTATGAATGTTGAGATTTCACCATTGATTGATTCCTATTTATAATAATCATATATTATCCATAAATGATTGATGCTCACCATTATCATGATCATGCTGACTATTAGTTATCATATAGTTTTTTATTTTCTGTATCGACCTCCCTTAATTTTCCTTAGAAGAGGAGTAAACTAGAATATCATCTATAAAGATAATAACAAATTGATCAAGATATTCCATGAACATCATATTCATCAGATTCATGAAAATTACAGGCATATTAGTCACCCCAAAAGGCGTGACTAAAAAATTATTTGACTCTATCACCTTCACCTTTTAGAAGTGATAGATTGATCTTGGAACTACTAGGCATGAATCATTTTACCTAATTTTTATGTAATAATCATTTATCAATTTCATGTTTTATCTATTTTATTTTTCTTAGATAGTACGCTTTGAATACAAAAACATCCCATGAAATTACAACATGATTATATCAAAATATACAAAATAATCAAATCAACAACATACTAAAAATTATGAGGTGAACGTTTGTTAGAAATCAAGATATCAAAATTTTGCAACTTCCAATCAAATAAAATATATGAAATCATATAGAAATCAAAATTACAGAAAATAGATATAGGATAACAATTATCTCCAAGGAGATGAACAACTTTTATAACTTGCTCGATGGGCAAAATTGACTATATGACTTGAAACTCAATTTTCTTTCTCTTCATTCTCCTCTCTTCTCCCCTTTCTTCTCTTCTTATCTTATTCTTTCTCTCCTAGCCAAATAAAAAAGAGGAATGGACTTTTGGGGGGAGTGAGTTTATATATTTATATAAATATTCTAAAATATACATAGTGCAATGGTGCTATCTAACCCAACGCCACTGTGTTCCCAATGAATTCTTATTTCTGGAAACTTCCTTCAAATCGAGACCTTAATGTTGTAGCATTTTCCCCTTATAGTTGCAATGCTTTCAAACATTATCCATTAATCAAAGAAGGTAGCGCCGCATGTCCACAACCACAACGCCCCGAATGATGTAATTTTTTCCTTCCATCATATAGAGGGCTTAGCGCCATAGCGCTCCCCCACTAGCGCTGCAAATGTCCTCAAGGGAAACTCTATCATCATTAAATTTCTTTTAGAATTCAATTCCTAAGTCCCTTTTCTCAATCCAATTTAACATATATATGAATTTATAAAATCATCCAAATATCAATAAACCCTAAATCTTACTTAAAATTCTTATTAGATCTTATTCGGATCAACATGTTTTATAATGACCGTAAAAGCGATTATTACATCAAGCTCAAAACACAATATTATGAGTTTAAGCCAGGATTAAATCTATTTTAAACTTTCAAAACCATATTGTGTGTTTCAGATAGTTTTGAACCAAAAGATTTGTCATAATTCAATTCAAACTTTATCTTGTGGCAATAATCTATTTCAAACAAGTTAAAAAGTATTTTTAAACATAGGGGTTTAACTTAATATTTGAAACTTTTGTTTTAATGGATTATTGTTCAAGCTATAAATAAACTTTCAAAATTTTATAAGAACATAATGGATTATTTATCATATTTTAAATTTAAAATTTTTTGATGTAAAAATTAATTTAAAATATTTGATTAAATAAAAACATAAAAGACTTTAGTTTAAATTAAGATATTATTAGAGATAAAAATTCAAATTTCTTATTTTAAGTGTTTATAATTAATATATCGTGTAGCTAAGATTCGCACCAAAAATAACGTTCTTACCCGACTTTTATTTGGTCCGGTCACAAGACGTAGCTCTACGTTCGGACGCCAGTAGAATCGCGCCACGCGATTTCACTATTTACCGCGCGCCCCTACAACCCGACCCGGAACGGACCTAGGATGGCTCAGTATTCTCGATTTTGCTAGGTATTGCTCGGTATTGCTAGGTATTGGTCGATTTTGCTCGGCAATAATCAATACCGAGCAAATCCCGAGCAATACCGAGCAAATACCGAGTAATACCGAGTTGTACCGAGTTTTTCTAGAAAACTCGGTACAACTCGGTATTTGCTCGGTATTGGTCTTCACAGAGCGGTATTTCTCATTATTGCCAAGCAATACCTAGCAATACTGAGCAATACCGAGCAAATACCGAGTAATACATCGCAATACACGAACATAGCATTCCCGGGTTCCGATCCGAGTCAAGTTATAGGGCCGCACGATAAAGACTAAATAGCCCCGGACCACATGTTATTGGCGGCTACTCTACGTCCGGTAATAATTGTTCCTGCAGCCTTGACCTCGTTCATCACTTCGCGCCCATGCTGCTTCAAGAGAAAAGGTTTCGTCCTCGTCACTTCATACCGCCATTCTCGTACTGAAGGAAGAACCTTACGATTTTCACGGCCGAAGCCATGGTGGATGATGAGGGAGTTGAGATGGAAACCGAAGGAGGTTCGCAAGGTGGTGTCCCTTTCCAGCTACAGTTCGACAAACCAATTCCTTCTCAGGTTCCTAAACCCTAAACCCTAATCAGAAAGTTAATCAATCCCCGCCTTCCGCATGGTCCTTCGTCTTCAGTCTTATTTCATCATTTTATCCTCGCGGTTCTATTGCTTAACAGGTCAAGATTGCGGAGTGGAATCCTGAGAAGGACCTTCTTGCGATGGTGACAGAAGATAACAAGATTATCCTCCACCGTTTTAATTGGCAGAGACTCTGGGCTCTTTTTCCAGGTGGATTTCCTTACTTTCTTATCCGACTTTCCAGTTGAGCGTCACTTTTCGAAGAATATTATGTGTAAACTTGGACAAACGTATTTGACAAGAAGAACGGAAAATTTATGACCTGAATTACTGGAATGTCATCTATTGGCTTATTTGGGAAGTTCAATAGAACATGTGTATAACTTAATCAAGCAGTATAAGTGGAAGGGCGAGAAACATCTTGGTGATATGCGAGACATTAAAAAATAAAATAAAATTTGAACAGTTACACTGAATGGATCCTAGCGTTGGAATAGACAAAAAACAAACAGGGACATCAACTGAAGCATCCTCAATGACTGTTGGAATGATGGTCAAGGAATACTCAGAGTAAGCAACAATGATGACACTCACAAAGATGAAGGATGAAAATGACAACACACGTGAGGATGAAGTAAGGCAACGATGTCATGGGTGGGAGGATGAGGGGCGGCGATTGTGATAACGGAGAGTTCAAGTTAGTGCGGGGGTGCATGGCGGATGTAGGATGAGCAACGAGAAAATTTTGATCTCACTTTTTACCTTTTTGAGATGCTTAGCTTAAGTAGGCTAAAGCTTTAAGCAAAGCCCAGAATAAAGCTTTTAAAACTTAGAAAAAGCACAATATCTGTTTGGATAATGAGCTTAGGATAGTTTTAAGCCCTGACCAAAAAAACCTTGCAACACGATTATAGCTCAAGAGGAATTGCTAGCAAACCATGCATGACTGCTAGCTTCCTTTTGTCGTAGTTGCAAGTCTCTTCAAATTTCCTTTGCCTCTTCTTCACTCAGTGTTGATTTTCCTCCTTCCACATTTCCCACTCTACAATATCAGTAGTTTTTTCTTAATATTGTGTAATTTGCATATCCCTAATGAGTGCTGATGTCATCCTTCATCCTACCTGCATTATTATCTTTGTCCTTCACATGAGTTTATTGTCACCATTAATCTTCACATTTGAGCTATAGTTCCTAATCATATTGTAGTAATTATCCTTCATTATTACTTTTTTTATGTCATATGATGATGTTACAATTATTTTTGTTGTTGTAGTAACTTTCATTTTTGATGCCCTAGTTATAGTTGTTGTCATGATCGTTGTTGATGATGCAATTGCTACATAATTAGCTAATATTAATTAATCTAATGAATTCCTAATAAATTTAATTAATCAATTCATTGATTTAGTAACCCATAACTAATTGACATACTTAATTTCTACTCGAATTCAAGCTTTGCATCTTTTGCAAACAAAATTTGAGGTCATGTTAGGTTTCCTTCTTGGACTAGAATTTTGCTTATGTGCATTTAAGGCATATTCTCCTAACTCCTAAGTATCTCTCTTAGTCTATCCTCTCGCAGACAAACAAATAGGTTGAGCTAAAAAAGGAAAACTCTTTATCATGACATGCTCGATTCAAGTTTAAATTGCTTTTAAGCTGGTTTAAGCCTATTAAGCTTGCCAAACAATATTATGCATTTGTCAATGACAATATGATAGGAAACAACCCAAAATAATGGAAAATAAAGCAGTGTAAACAACAATTTTTGCCAAACCAGTAGGAAAATTAGGGAGAAAACATTTGAAATTCCATAGTAGAAGGAAAAGGAACAACCCGATATAACGAATTTTCAATTTGAGAGGAAGATTCAACTCTCCAAATCTCTAGCCAAAGACTAGAGCCCAAAACCAACACCAAGATCCCAAATTCAGATTCAAATTCAAGATGAAAATCCTAACTTTAGCTAGAGAAACTAATTAAAGTAAAGAGGACAATTATAAAATCCCTAAACAACCCTTAATTCAAATTTCCCTCCTAAGCAAAATTTAATTTAGTTGTGAGCCCATCACTCTAGCCGCCCCTCTTCCTATTCCCTGGTTCCGCCTGCTCCTTTTGTCCTCCTCCTGTAGCACTGAACCGATCCAGGATGGACTGGTTCAGCCGGCCTAACATTACCCCCCCCAAAGACTCACCTTTTCCTCAAGGTGAAATGAAGGAAACTAATATTTCACTCTCTCATATGGCTCCCAAGTAGCATTGATGTCGGGAAGGTCCCTTCATTCGATAGGCACTTCTTTGTTTTCCTCTTTATTTGATCTTACGTCCCTCAGCTCGAGTGATTCTAAGACCACTTCCAACTCCTCTATCAGTGTAGATGGTAAGTCTGCACTAACTGTACGCTCCCCTAGAGCTCTCATCAACTATGACATGTGAAAGACTGGGTGTATGGTGGCGGATGGGGGTAAATTCAAATGGTACGACACTGTTCCAATCTTGTCCAATATCTCTTAGGGGCATAAATACCTTGGGGAAAATTTCTCGTTTCTTCTGTTGTCCACTGTCCTCTGTCTGTAGAGTCGTAGTTTTAAGAATACTTTTTCTCCCACTTCAAACTATATGCCTCTCCTATGTGCATATGCTGCTTCTTCATGATCTGTTGTGCCCTTAGCATATGTTTCTTCAACTCCTCCAACATCTTGCCCCTTTCCTCCAAGTATTGCTCTACTGAAAAAACTGGTGTGTTTCATTTCCCAAAGTGCACTAAGTGTGGGGTCCCTTCCATACAATACTTTAAAAGGAGTCATCTGAGAAGCATAATTGTACGACGTGTTGTACCAATATTCGGCCCATGCTAACCATTTTGCCTACATCCTCAGTATTTTAGAAGCAAGACATCTCAAGTAAGTCTCCAAACTCCAATTGACTACTTTTGTTTACCTGTCTGTTTAAGGATGGTAGGCGATGTTTTCTTGAGAATAGTGCCCTACAACTTGAATAGCTCCCTCCACTGTCATGGTCAGACACTATCGATTATGGGATCCCGTGCAGTCTAACCATCTCCTTGATGAATGCTGCCGCCACTGACACTGAGATGTAGCGGTGTCGTAAGGGAATGAAATGCGCATACTTACTCAGCATGTCAACCACCACCATGATGACTCTGAATCCCTCCGATCGTGGTAGGTCATCTAAGAAATCCATGGAAACTTCCATACTCTTTTTAGAAGTGCCAAGGGTTGTAGTAACCCCCCTGGAGCCGTCACCATGTATTTGTTTATCTGCCACACTCACACTTCACCACTCTCCTTCACATCCTTATGCATTCCCTTCCAATATAACTCAACAACCAGTCTCCTGTATGTCTTCTGTACCTCGGAATGGCCTCCAACTGCACTCCCATAGAACTCCTGCAGCAGGTGGGGAATATGAATGGAAGTTCGTGGCATTATAAATCTCCCTTGATGTAATAGCCCTTCCCCCTCAAGAGAGTATCCTGGTTGGCTACTCGCGTCCCTCATCAAATCCTCCCTAATCTTCCTCAATTTCTCATCCTGCATGCTCTCTTCTTTTATACCTCATAATCTACCATCAGTGGTATTGAAATTGCCACCTCTTGGAGCTCACCATCATATCTTGATAAGGCAACAACCACCTTATTTTTCAAACCTGGCATGTACTGGATCTCAAAATCATAGCCTAGCAGTTTGGACAACCACCTCTTATGCTCCTCAATCACCATCCTTTGCTCTAATAAGTATTTCAAGCTTCTCTGATCTACCTTGATGATGAAATGCCGCCCATGCAGGTAAAGGCGCCACTTCTGAATAGTCAGTGCAATGGCCATCAGTTCCCTCTCATATACTGATTTAAGCCTAGCTCTGACTGACAACACTTGACTATAATAGGCTATAGGCTTGTGGTTCTGCATGAGTAGAGCCCCCAACCCATATTCGGACGCATCGGTCTCCACTACAAAAATCTGGCTGAAATTCAGGAGAGCTAAAACTGGGACTGTAGTCATGGCTTTCTTCAGCCTCTTAGAAATCTGGGTCGCTGCCTCTCCCCGCAAGAAGCTATCCTTCTTCAGTTGCTCGGTCAAGGGCCAAGCTATGTCATTGTATCCCCTCACAAATCTCCGGTAGTAACCAATCAATACTAGGAAACCTCTCAGCTCTCTCAAGTTCCTAGGTAGAGCCACTTATGTATTGTTTCAATTTTGGTTTGATCAGCTGCCACCCACTCCTGAGATACCACGTGCCCCAAGTATTCCACGCTAGTCTGTGCGAAGTTGCACTTCTTTAGGTTGGCCCTGAGCTGGTGCTTCTGTAGAACTCCAAAGACCACTCTTAAATGCTCCAGATATTCCTCTTCGGTCATGCTATATACAAGTATGTCATCAAAGAAAACCAAGAAAAACCTCCGGAGGTATGGCCTGAACACCCGATTCATCAATGACTGGAAGGTAGCAGGGGCGTTTGTAAGCCCAAATGGCATCACCAAGAACTCAGAGTGCCCCTCGTGCGTTCTAGAAGCCATCTTCTGAACACCCTCCTTCATCCTGATTTGATGGTAGCCCAACTTTAAGTCATCTTGGAAAACACCACTGCTCCATACAACTCATCCAGTAGTTCATCGATCACCGGAATGTGGAACTTATTCGGCACGGTCTCCTTATTCAACGCCCTGTAATCTACACAAAACCTCCAGCTCCCATCCTTCTTCTTCACCAGTAAGATTGGACTAGAGAAATGACTAACACTTGGCTTGATGATCCCTGCTTCCAACATCTCCCTGATCAGCTTCTCAATCTCATACTTCTAAATTTGGGGGTAGCGGTATGGCCGTACACTAATCGATGATACCTCTTTCAAAATGATTGCATGTTCCTGCTTTCTAGGTGGTGGTAAGCCTTGAGGTGGTTGGAAGACCTCATTGAACTGCTGTATAAGTGATTGTAATGCTAGAGGGATATCTTCGTCTTCCCCCTTACTGACACCCTCCAAGCATTGCAGTTCCTTCAAATATCCTCCTCCCACCTCATGTATGGTTATGATTAGAGATTTGAGAGATACTCCAGCCTTGGACAGCCCGACGTCTCCCTGAATCACCATCCTGCTCCCCCTACCACCGTCTCCATCCTCAGTGCTCCCCAATTTACCTTTGTATCTCCCAAAATTTGTAGCCACTTCATCCCTAGGATGACATCA